GTTAATGAGAATATTTGACAAAAAACGCACGATGGATGTTTTTATTTTTATCTGCACAGTTGTTACCGACAATTTGCCGATACTGTTGTACCAGTGAATGAACTTGCTGAAGTTGTTGCATAAACATATTGTTATGTCATTATTCGATCACTAGTTCTGGTTCAGTAGTTGTGGATAGGTAACTACACCATTTCATTTTTGATAAGAATGTGGATGCTTCAAATATGGCAGCTTACTTTTACTCTGGATATGACTAGTGAATTACTGATAGTTGCTTATTGGGTTGTTCTAAACAATGAAATTTGAAACTCCTACGAACTTCACATTATCACAACGACAAACGGACATCAAGTAGTTTTGTTGGCCGACAATCTGATGTTCGATAATAATCTAGTAATTATGTCAACTAAGAATTCCTACAATGTTCCTACGTAAATTGATTAGGACTAGATGAAGGCAATCAAACGTATGGGATGGCTCATGTCAAATCTACCCTCACAACCATGAGAGGCTTCGTTCAAGAAGGGTATTTTGCACATGAAGTGCTCGGTGCTGGGTAATCGTATATCAACTTGCATGAGTTTTCAGTGTTTACATAATTGAGTAGTCTATTTACGTCTGAAAAGCTAATAAGTCACTTGAAGTTATTCGGCGTATATTATTTTTCGTTTCTATTGCATTTTTTTGAGTAAGTCTCTGTTGGAAGGCTGTCGTTATACTTGTCTCGTTAAAGATCTTAATAGGTTCAAAAAATAAATTAATGTCAGTAAATACGATGACATTATCTACCAAGAATAACTATGGATGTCAAGGCACTTCATAGACGTAGCAACAAGCATTAGAATGTATATCTCTGCATCACATAATTTTCTTGTTGTTCTGTTGCACTAATTTTGATTTGACTATTTATCCTCTGAAGAAGTGGCCTACACTGAGTCATGAAACGTCAGAAAATCTAACTTTTCTCCTCATTGGGATGTTACAAATATATTACTTATTTGTTTTAAAGTTCATTCATTTAACCTCATATTTCCTTAAATTGCATGTAGTTCTGATGAATGATGTTACCTGTATTTTAAAAATAACCAGCGGTAATGATTTCGTCTTGTATTACATCTCAATTTGTGACTATTTTAATCCCCAATTATTAGTCAACATGTATAATTAAAATATTATTTTTGACAAATATGTATCTGCAACCTCATTATAATCGCAGCAGTATGATCGAGCAGGATATTTGTATATTGGTAACGGTGTGTAATGGCACTGTGCTCTAATATGAGACAATATGGGCAATAGACATTCAACATTTTAGGCGGAGAAATACTCAACAATGGAGAAGGTGGGAACAATGATTTGAATAAGTTGGGGTTGATCGTATGGCATAGCTCGGCCATGCAGGCGTGGTCCCTTCTAAATGTTACGTTACGTCTTTTATTCATATTAAATATATTGTTCCATCTCTAGCCCAAGATTGTTCCATATGATGTATTGGTAATTGTTACGACGCAGTGAGTTGGTGTAGATGATGATGTGACTTTCACGTAAGATCTCATAGACTAGGCAGTAACATCATAACAAATCTACCACTTTGGGATTAGGTCTATTATTAGAGCAGTGCTAATATCATAGTGGACCATAATTCTACAGGTGTTTCAACTTCTAGTAAGCATTGCAGCTGATTGTGATGCGACTTCCTAACGACCTTCAAGTGAATGTAGATGCCAATAAAATTCAAACATCTCATTTAGCGAAACTCATAATTTATGCCTCACAAATGAATATTAATTGAGTAGATAATCTTAATAAAAAGGACGATTATAAACACCCAATTTCTATTTTCAAAGTACATAAGTTTGTTATTATTGAGCAGCATTCCTAGAATACGTTGACAGAAGAATGAATGGTACGACAACAACTTACCTCAAGGCCACACCAGTTTGCATTGAGTAATCGACTGATATGCATCACTGTCCATTCTCATGATAAATCATATTTGGTGTTCAGTGGTCAGTCGTAATAACCTAGTTAAACATCTAACAACACTCACAAGTAAGTTTGAATTACAGTGTCTTTTTGTTGCTTTGATGTTTGGCCAACTTGGTAAATGCGAAAATAATAGATTTAAAAACCGGCGACACTATAGTTTGTGAACTAAACGATAAAATTTACGATAACAGCTCACAGATTTTGGCGCGAAGTTCATTCACCCATTTGGCTAAATAGAGTCTTGGCATTATAGCTGATGTCAGTTCGTGATGAAAATGCTAAATCTAATTCCTAACGCTAACCATCAACTGCAAATCATAATGCTTTTTCCTACAACTTTTTTATAGCCCTCATTTAACCCTAGTAGGTAGGTAGACACTTAAGGTTACTTTATTGTCGATCAAAAGTCATCCATAAACTGTGGTCTCACCCATACATTTACTAAAACTGCACATTTGCTCCACATCACCGAAATATGCTTCCTGGAAACACCTTACACAGAGGTGAAAACCTGGGACCTAGATTTGTATCCTTGCTTAACATAACGATGTTGGAGTTTGAGTCTTAACCAAGTTAACATGTAGGATTATGTTCCAGTTCGGCATAGAGACATTTATCCTTGCTTCTATAATAATAGACTTTCTAGTGACCCTATATCTGACTCAAGTTAAATCGTATGCTGATTTTTATCTAAATATACAACTTTCAGCTTAATTCGGGTTGACAAACAACGGAATAAAATAAGCGAAATGCGAGATTGAATTTTGAGTACGTATACACTCCTTCTTATACATTGATTGATCAAGACAGACAATTAAAAAATGAAGTGAAGGAAGAGAAACAAAACAAAGTGACGTGCAACAGAGAAGGCGAGCGAGCCAACCTGTTTTAATTAAGAGTGACTCAATATTTATATTCAGAAAAAGATAAATTACAGACACGTTATGAATAGGGTGAGCAATTGACACACACGATCATATGAAAAGCAGTCACGTTTAATATGTGAATAAGTGGCAGGGTGAAAATGTAGCTTGAGAAGGATGAATAGATTTATCTGTCCAGAATAACTTACGTGGGCTTGGCGCGGTACAACCTTATCCCAAAATTGTAGATTTTAATGGTGCAACTACCTAAGATCTAATGTAGGTGTACGTATACACAGAAAAGAACCTGGGGTTCGCTGTGTGTTTTTTTACGTATCGTAACTCATCGACATTATGCACCCAACAAAATATACCTTGTCTTAGGGTTTCTTCACAGAATATTTGGTAGTTTGAATCTTTGACTATTCAAAACTACTTTTAGAAAAATTTACCGGACCACAGTTACAAATTATCACGTCTCTTATAAACTCGCTCAATTTTACAGAAGTCTCATCTATTTCAATAATAAATTGCGCCGAACAGGACATCAATTTAAAACAAAAATAACGGGTTCGAACAAAGGTTCGTGCAAACTTTTCATGATTAAGGTCAGCAATCTATGGAAGCCTTAAGTAGATAGATACTGACGGTACGTTGACAGTTTTTTAAGAAGTTTCGATTTCGATCTGAGTTCTGTAGGTAGTGATAATCATTAATTTAAGTGTTCTCAACAATTAGTTCCAGTAAGAAATATATTTTTGTTGTATCCCAGTGGGTAAAAAAAATTGTATTTCTAGCATTTCGTGATTTGATACAAGCCACTTTTTCAGAGTAAATGAATAACCGAATCAAATTAACCCAAGTCTAGATCGTACAAAGGAAATAATGAAGAATGTCTTTGGAACAATCAAAATCATGATAGATTTAAATATGACAATGTCAGTGCCAAGTTATTCTTTGCCAAGGTGAATTTGTGTGACCTGTTACTGTATCAATTTATGCATCAAAATGTGGGTATAAAAAATATATATATTTGTAAAATCAAGTGGCGGAGATGAAATTGGGTGTGCATGTGTGTAGGAAATAAATAGGAACATGTGTGGTTGGTTGTTTGGATAAATGGTACAAGTTGGATAAATATCCAGGCCTTCTTTCCCATTCAAGGTAGAAGGATTCAAAATTAATGTGGAACGCTTCATCTGCTCTCATCTCTTTATGTTTGGTAGAGTCTTTTTGAACTATTTTGATATCAGTGTGATTAATGAAATTAGCATATCCTGCTATTACTGATTTAATCCGTAAAATTTCCAATTCTACAAGATTAATAAGAGGCCTTTCTGTGTGACATCAGTGTTCCTTGGTACGAGTTGAGGTCTCATGGGAAGAATCTCGAATATGGGACGCGTCTCAATCGACATAACCTAATCTGTCGACACAAATTTGTATAGGAGTAAATGGGATAGTATATTTAATTCTAACTAAAGCGTTTCTTATAGTGCTAGTTGTGTTATAGGAAGCCTTAATTTTGTACGTTTTCAATATCCGTTGTAATTCTTCCGTCGTGCCTTGTCGATAGAGTAGAACAACAGTGCCAATCCAAGATATTTCACTAGGATTGGTTTTTCACAGGCGGACAGTTTCGTCTTAATATGTTTCGAATAATATTTCTAGGAAAATCATTAAAATGTACGACGTTTATTATATATACTTTTCTAGTTTGTCTTCTGAAGTAGTGGTCCTGGTTGTTCTTCAAAAGTGATTCAGGTTGAGGAAAAATGTTTCACTGAATGGATGTGCAGACTTAAAATCAATATGTCGATTTAAATGTGTATTGAAAACTAATGCTTTCGCCCTTCAGTTTCAAAGGGAACACACAAAGAACCTTACCTTTGCTACAACACATAAACATATATCAAGGAAAAAGTAGTTAGTTAGTTCTTCAAAGCGCAGTTTGAAGTTTAACGTTTGTTATTAATTTACCGACACTTCTGTTTACTTATGATTCCACTGACCTGTACTTGGAGACATTGACGATCCATTGTTACTACATGCAAAAGGCATCTTAAAAGAAGCCTATTACATCCCGATCACAATCATTTGAACCATTTGAGCTTTCAGATTGTTTGGATATTTCAAAATTATTTGTTCACAACTGCGCCAGATACACGAGGTGCGCTACTTGTGTTCTCACAGACTCATGAGCATTTATAATAATGTCAGACAAGATTGATAATCTGCGTTGCTTTTCTCAACCGCTTATTCATTTAAATGGAACAAACAACCTGACTCCAGTATCACTGCCAACTCTCAGTTTACTAAACGACAATTCCCGAAACAGTGTTAACTTCGATAAAATTCACCTTTCTCTTAGCGTACTAAGATTAGACCCGGCAGACCGCGCAGTAATAAAAATCGCAGGTAACGCCAGCTTTCCGATTAAATTATCTTATCATTGACTTTTTTATGCTGTGTAAAATCCGATATTTGTCGGATTATTAACTATGTCAAATTTCCAGTATCAGTAGCTTCATTTGCAAACAAATGAATCACTATATGACCTAATATACTTGTAAACGTTTGCGATTCAAGTGTTTTAAAGAGCTAAAGGCCTCACATTTTTGGACCACATGCTCCTTTAAGAAGCTTGTACGGGTTGTGATGCTTTTACCGACGTCAAGCTTTAATACAATTCGTTAGCTCTGATCAATTTCGACTACTTGCCAATCAAATTAACTGCAATCTTGGAACACGCTCCTTGCCTTCTTGGAGGACTTTTGTTTCGGATTAAAGGCTTCATGTAATGTAGCTACTTGTTCGCTAAATTTAGAAGCAAATAAAAACTAATCGTATTACAATTCATCCAAATTTCCCAGTGTGATTACCTCCTTTATCTTTTAAAATCGGCAAATAACAAATCTACCACTAAGAGAATACTACAACTCATAAATTTACGACAATGAAAGACATGTATTTATGGCCGAATCGGTCACGTAAAATGAGTGTTATTTCTGGTTTTATCGTGATACATCTTTAGTTCTTCATCTCTTAATCTGCTCATTTGATATTATCCGATTTATTCATTGAAACCATTATATTTCTAGAGAAAGAATTCGGCAACATCGTGTCGTCTTTATATATATATATATATATATATATATATATATATATATATATATATATATATATATATATATATTCATGTCTTCATCGAGTCGTTGCTTTCCAGAGTCCCTTAATTTCATCTGATTTTGGAAGTACAAATATAATTTCTCTTGACAATATTCATATATACTGATCTTCAGAGAGCTTTTAACATCAGCGACGTGGAGTTATTGTAGTAAATACATTATGTTGTTGAAACAGTGTACAATCAATCCTCGCTAAGTGGAATCTCGTGGTAAAATGTAATCTGTGTTTGTATGGAATAGGGTACATGAGGAGTGTTTTTTAAAAGTTTTCATATGTACGCAATTTTCGCTGCATATTTTTAGAAACTATTGTAGTTTAATAAAGTATCGTGTTAAAGGTCTAAATCAAGATTATTACTACTTGTTACGGTAGATCGTTATTTTTTTTGTAAAAGCTCAACTTTATGGTTCGACCATTCATATACTTACTATCTAATCACTATCGGTAGCTTTATTTCGCATATTGTACTCTTTGTAAAAAGTTGGTGTCACTGAACTTGACGTAGGACGTAGTGTGTTGAACTTACACTAATATAATTTCTAAGAATTAGGGCTAACAATTAGGTCCAAATTGACTGGAGGGTGGGAGACGTACAAACTGACTTCCTCCAGTCACCTATGAAATTTTCCTAACCGTTGTTGCTACCTTGACGTGGTGGTCGGGCTTGCCTATCGTGATGAAGCAGCTGAGCTATAATGACTGGAACAACCGTTCCTCAAGGTCCTACCATGCCAGACAGGTCGGTTAAAGAGCGGTAAGACTAAAAACAACAAAACCAAGATCCGAAGGCGAAGTCGTACTGCTGACTGTACAGAGGTGTGACAGCAGTAAGGTGTTTCCTTCAGACAACCAGCATAACAGCGATGCTGCCTTCCCAAAAGGAGGGGAGGGTTTAGAAAAGGTCGACCCTAAAAATGCACACCTCGCCTTATTCCATGGATATCCGTCTCCGGCGGTAAGGTCTCAACAAGTACGGAGCTAGCACAAAAACTACTTATAAAAAGGTCGTGTGTGACCGACCTCAAGCAGCTGTCCCTTGGGCACTGCACTGCGGTCACGCTCTCAGGTCACTATGACCAACTCTAATCCAATTTCCTCTTCAGGTACCTCCAACAGAACCCTTCCACGGTGTGGGCAACCGGGAAGTGATAACCGCCCTCATACCTCTAACAGCACTCAAGACCACTGTATTCATAATCAACCTACCTCTTCAATTCCTATTATTCTTCTTACATCGACTTTCAAATCTAAACTCCCTCTTTCGGCTTCCTCCTCAAGTGTCACCACAGCCAACGATTCTAGTGCGCAAAACACTGTCCCAGGTCTAGTGAAACCTCGCTCCAAACTACACATTGGAGCCTTCAATGTACGCACACTATGCGAAATCGGTCAGCAGGCTTCCTTGGCTAAAACCTTAGAATCTCGTACGATTGATGTATGCTGTGTCTCCGAAACACGCATACAGGATCCTAGTGTGGTCATTCACTTGACCTCACCTCGGCAAAACGGAATGCCGACGAGATACACCCTCCGTGTATCTGGTGACCCGATGGCTAGTTCTCGTGGACTTGCAGGTGTAGGCATAGCACTAAGCATGAGGGCGGAACAAGCGCTATTAGAGCGGATCCCCGTTAACAGTCGTCTATGCGCTGTTCGGCTAAATGGCTCCGTGAAAACCCGGAAGGATAGGGACACACGTCGTTGCCTTTTCGTCGTTTCTGCCTACGCTCCCACTGACTGCAGTAAGGATGAAGTGAAAGATGAATTTTACAGAAAACTCTCTGAACTTCTTCAGAAAACTAAACGTTCAGACATAGTACTCGTAGCAGGCGACTTTAATGCCCAGGTAGGTAACTTAAACGAAACAGAAAGACATTTAGGTGGGTATTTTAGTATTCTGGCACAGAGAACAGATAATGGTGATCGTCTGCTGCAACTTTGCTCAGACAATCGTTTATTTTTAGCAAACACAAATTTTAAGCATAAGGAGAGACATCGACTAACATGGCGACCCCCGGCACCAAACCAACGATGGACTCAAATAGACCATATTGCCATCAGTCATCGTTGGAGAGGGTCGATAGAAGATTGTCGCTCATTCTGGAGTACCTGCTTGGACTCCGACCATTTATTTTATTGATTTATTTTAACACATAGGTATTGGTACAAGGAGGCACCAAGTACATATGCGCCACACGAATCTCAATTGATTTGTGTGAGGGCTGTGATACTGCCAGGGTGCCCAAACCGAAGCAGGTGGTTTTCTTAGGGGGCCACACCCCGAGTCTTTGACCTGAACGTCTGATCCACAAGGCAGTGGAGCATCGTAAGGAGATGCAGTCCCATGGTAGCCGGTGACCAACGATTGGTTCATACGCCATTTGTTCCTTCAGGATACTGGAGCCCATGTGCACCATTGGTTTGGGGTCCGGTTAAAGCGCCGGACATTCGCTTTTCGTCCTCTCATTTTCGTAAACAACACCCCCGCCACGTGAAGGCAGTGAGTAGGACTTCCCTGGCAGGGACTCCGACCATGCCCTAATACGAGCACGCATCTGCTTGCGCCTCACTGGACGCAAAAAAGCCACACAAAAAAGACTCATTAGAACCGAATTGAGTAACGAGAAAACCAAAAGTAGGTTCCAGGAACAACTGAGGTCACACTTAGGTAGTTCTGAAAACGAGGCTGACCCCGATGTTGATTGGAAAGACATACAAGCAGCTGTGCAAACAGCACTGACATCTATTAGTGACTTAAATCAAAGGGTTACTAAGAACAAATAGATTTCTTCAAGGTCTATTACACTGATGGATTCTCGCAAACTCATCCTATCAGGCTCTGAACACGATGAAGAGCGAAAGCAAATTAGATCTAGGTTAACCAAAAGTCTAAGGAATGATCGTGAGCAGTGGTGAGCAACGAAAGCAAAAGAGATGGAAAAGGCGGCGGCTATAGGGAACACAAGACAACTCTACAGACTAATAAAAGAAACTAAAATTAATAAATCAAGTGTAAGTCAGACTATTTCGGAAAAAGACGACACTCATCTGCTCCCAGTCCAGACGCTTAGAACGATGGGCTGAACATTTTAAGGAGCGATTCAGTTGGCCTTCAGCTACTCTACAACTACCCTCTATTCCCAGACAGTGTGAATGGAACATTGAAGTAGGTCCCCCAACTCTAGCTGAAGTTCAAAAGGCTATAGCTAATCTGGAACGAGGAAGGGCAGCTGGTCCAGACGGATTGGCCCCAGAGGTCTTTAAGGATGGTGGTCTAGTTTTAGCGATTAGGTTGACTAATATTTTAGCTAAAATCTGGGAGTTAGACGTCATCCCATCTAACTGGTCACAATCACTTATCGTCCCAATATTTAAGAAAGGGTCAAAATCATCCTGTGACAATCACAGAGGGATTAGTTTAACTAATATAATATTTAAAATACTAGCTTCGATAATTTTCGGACGCCTAACTAAGACTCGCGAGCTGCAAACACGTGAAAATCAGGCTGGCTTCAGACATGGTCGTGGCTGCATCGACCACATATTCACCATTCGTCAGGTTCTAGAACACAGGCATACTTATCGGCGTCCGACAATAATGGTCTTCCTTGATTTAAAAGCAGCATTTGACTCTGTAGATCGAGAGGTTTTGTGGCAGTGTCTGTCATTGGAAGGCGTACCTCAGAAGTACATAAACCTTGTGAAGGCTCTTTACTCGAACACTACTAGTCGAGTCAGAGCTTATGGCGAACTGTCATCTGCTTTCGCAACCTCAAGTGACGTCCGCCAAGGCTGTCCACTTTCTCCATTTTTGTTTAACTTCATCATAGATCAACTGATGGAAATAACGCTCTCATCGACTGAATTTTCGGGTATCGATCTCCTACCAGGAGGTCCACTTATTGACTTAGAATACGCAGATGACAAAGTCCTGTTTGGTGAAGACGCTGATGAAATGCAGAGTCTTTTGGTAGCACTGAGCAACAATGCTAGAATGTTTGGGATGCGCTTCTCTCCCTCTAAATGCAAGTTGTTGCTTCAGGACTGGTCTGCGTCAACACCTGAACTAAGGATAGGGGGTGAAGTAGTCGAACGCGTTGACAACTTCACTTATCTTGGAAGTCTGATCAGCACTAATGGGTTGGTGTCAGACGAAATCTCAGCACGAATTCGAAAAGCTCGTTTGGCCTTTGCCAACTTACGTCATCTATGGCGAAGGCGAAATATCCGTCTATCAATTAAGGGACGAGTATACTGCGCGGCAGTTCGTTCCGTTCTACTATACGGCTGCGAAACATGGCCTTTAAGAGTAGAAGATATTCATAAGCTACTAGTATTTAATCACAGATGCCGTAGAAATATTGCTCTCACCTGCTGGGATCGCCGGGTAAGTAATAGTGAGGTTAGACGCAGGGTATTAGGGAATGATGGTAAATCAGTTGATGAGGTCATGAATCTTCATCGACTGAGATGGTTGGGCCACGTGCTGCGTATGCCTGAACACCGATTACCACGGCGCGCAATGCTAACCGGTGTTAGGGATGATTGGAAGAAAGTTAGGGGCGGCCAAACCAAAACGTGGCATCAGTGCTTGAAGTCACTAACTTCTGGTCTGAGCCATGTTGGTAGATGCTGACTAATTGGTAGTGGTCCGCGTGACTGTCGTAACCAATGGTTGGAGACTCTTGGTGACATGGCTCAGAATCGATCACAATGGCGTCGGTGTATACCCTCTCTATCTTCCTTTAAACTAAGAGATTCAAATCACTTCAAATCTTTCTTTCTAGGAACTAATTCTATCTTCCTGTAATATCTCCTTATACACACTCTTTCTTCTATATATTACCACCACTGAATTAACTACTTCTATGAATCCGGTGTTCATCTTGTTGTGCTAATGCGGTATGGCAACTTGGACCGATGCATATACGTGCCTGGTCCTACGTTGCAGCTGACTATGAAATTTTATCATGTCCGTTTCGTGCTACTATTTTGTATGTGAACTTGCACTTTATTACATTGAATATCTATTCCTCTGGTTAATGATCTTGTTTTCGATTTCAAATCATTTAGTGGGATGCTTTTATATTCTGGTCTCGTGAACAGACATCACTCGACCGTAGTTTACTTCTTTACGTTTTCTTCCGTTTTAATAATCGAAAATTCTGTTCAGAAAATAATAAAATCCACCTCTATAACGTATGAATGTAATTAGTTTTGTTTTCCTATTTTTCCACTGTTGTCTGCATTTACTGTTTTCTATACAAACAAATGTGTATGCGATTATGGAAATATATGGGTCCTTACCTTCTGTTTTCAAAATTTTTATGTTAGATGAACGTGATGCAATACAAAAGAAAGCCTTCACCAATTGGGTCAATCAACATTTGGTTAAGGTAATTATCATTATTGGTTGTTCTTTGCAGTTATCTTTAACTACAATCTTGCTACTGATATATGGTAGGGTCTTTTCACTTTTCTCACTTTCAAGAGTCTTATTGATGTTTTAAACAGACGGTGTTTCAGTAATGGGAATAAACGGTCTTAACTGATATTCACATATTCTTTTATCAGGTGTGCATTATAGTCATTTTCATCTGTGTATTCGTATTTTTTGCTCACTTGAATTAGGTTCGTTTGTTGTAGTAATGAAGTAGCGGTACTCTCTGTAAAAAATCAACTGAAAAATGAAAATGCAGACACTGACTATATTGTATGAGTAGCTATCTGTGTAGGAAGTAATTTCGTCGACTGTTGAGCACAGAGTCCTAGCTTACTTGTCCTGATTTTGGCTAAGTTAAGACTGTGCCCGACATTTTAGAGTAGTTTGTAATTAAATCTGTAGGAAATTACTTTCCACAACCAATGTGTTATTAAGCATTGGAAAACATCTCAAATGACGAGGAATATTTACTGTTTTAATGAAATAAGTCATTGTGGCAAATCACGGTAGTATAATGACCTTCATAGTAGTACTAACGTCCGATTTCGTAGTGATAATTTTCAATTAAGAGTAGCGTAAAGTTGATTCAGGTTATCGGACCATTTAAATACAAACCGGAAAAGCTTCATTACAAAATTAAAAAACACGGTGTATAATGTAATGCTTCTATAACATAAACACCTAGTGCCTTCAAGATCGTTCATAATCATGTAAGAAAAGACGAAAAAAGTCGAATTACTGTGAAACTGCATCCAACGTTTTGTATAAGCAATGCTATTATTTCTATTCTCAGGTTGCTGATATTCAATAGTGAATTTTGGTCATTCGTTTTGAGTATACGTGTTGTCACGTGTGCTATCAAACACTGATCAGAATTCTGTTCTAAATATCAACAGTTGATTGTACAAACAATTGCTAATAATATGGCTGTTTGACAATTTGTCTAGGCGTGAGCATGATTTATCTATCCTGTGAATAAACTCATTTTCAATTGATTGATCTCTGAGTTGTGACCAATGTCATGTATATCAAGTACTTCTAAGTGTTGACGGAATTCCGTCGCTCGAAATGCAATATGGGCACTAGCCTAAATGACTCAAAATCGCGTGCACTATGTACAGATATCTCAGTTCTTCGCAAGGTCAATGGCGACCTCGATAGCCTGGTGATAAAGTCTGACTATACGGCTGGGTGAGCGTCGGTTCCCTCAAGGTTACAGATACATCTTGCTGACGAGTGCTAACTAGCATGAGACATAGATCCAGCGTTTTCTGTCTACCACTTCTAACTAACACTTTACAACATAACTATGTGTTTTATATATATATATATATATATATATATATATATATATATATATATATATATATATATATATATATATATATATATATATATATATATATATATATATAGCATATGAACACATACCTTTGTTATCGATCAAAACTCAGAATGAATCATTTGATCATCATAATTCATACCACATAGTTTTTTAAAAACTCATACATTCAAAACGAATGCTTAATTTGTCAGTTATCGTTATTACAATCACCCTAATAACAATCAAAATTTTTTTCTAGCACTTCAGTTAAATACTACTATTACACAGATAAAATGTTACATAAACATCATTCGTTCCTCTGTCAGTAATATGCTTATATTGTAACTAGTCAATCGAATTGACCAGTTTAATACTTACAATAAGACTTAAGATTTCTGAAACAAAAGTGAAATGAATTATCCACATCTGGAAGTTCTATATAGTTACAACTTCATTCGACTTTGCTTCGTGTAACCGGCTAGAGTTTCTGCTCTACATATAATAGTGAATGTGTTCATTTGAAGTTTTCATGGTAGCTCATGGTTCTTTCATTCATGTTCACAACAATGTTTGTGTCTGTTTATTATTAATTATACACTAATAAACACCATTATATTGCGACGTTAAATTGAACTGTTAAGTATATGGTCATGATCATTTTCTCCTTGCTACTTCTCTAAATATATGACTTCAGATTATTTTTGACTTATCGAAGATATGGTTATAGCCTCTACCAGGGAAGTCCTACTCACTGCCTTCACGTGGCGGGGGTGTTGTTTACGAAAATGAGAGGACGAAAAGCGAATGTCCGGCGCTTTAACCGGACCCCAAACCAATGGTGCACATGGGCTCCAGTATCCTGAAGGAACAAATGGCGTATGAACCAATCGTTGGTCACCGGCTACCATGGGACTGCATCTCCTTACGATGCTCCACTGCCTTGTGGATCAGACGTTCAGGTCAAAGACTCGGGGTGTGGCCCCCTAAGAAAACCACCTGCTTCGGTTTGGGCACCCTGGCAGTATCACAGCCCTCACACAAATCAATTGAGATTCGTGTGGCGCATATGTACTTGGTGCCTCCTTGTACCAATACCTATGTGTTAAAATAAATAAATGAATAATAAATAGAAGATATGGATAATTTATATATGTTTATTTATGAACTACTAATTAATTGGAAGAATTTAGATAAATTTTTAAACCAATATGTGATAACAAATAATTTCAAATTTTTAACTTGTTTTACTGTTATCCGTATATTTGTTTTATTCAGTTGATGAACTAGATGAAATTGGTTTGTACATTTTAATGAGTACATTCAATGGAGTTGAAGACTAAATTATTATTTTTTCAACTACTTACAATAGTATTCTTATACATAAGTGAAAAAAAGAATTGCGGTATCCTTCAAGCTATCTAATTTATTTTATACGTAGTATGACGTTTATGGCATAAAAGATGTGTGATATGATAGGCCATGACATAATGTAAATTTGTAAACTGTTGTAAATTATTAGAAAGAGAAAAGTAGTAAAGTGAAAATATCAGCAGAAAGTATGTAAAGATGTGATTTGATTAGGAACGCAATCAATATAGATTTCGTCCAGTTAGGTGATGGATCATACGATTTTCAAAAACGACCGTCTCTAATCTCTATTTTCAACTGTTTACTGCAAGATTTCAAGCCGCTATGACACATTGTTTCTACATTAATCAAACGGCATTCATCAGTTACTAACCACTGGAAGTAGTTATACTAACTCTTACATCAGCTATGGATATTGACATGATGGGTGTCTCCTCACAACATATCTTTCGTTGACCACCTCTAAAGAGCATGGCGTTCTTGTATCACTTTATACACTGTTGAACAAGGTTTTGGTTGCAGCTTCTTTTGCGTATCCACCATTGCTAATTATAGTATCGGTGACAGTCCCCAATCGACCCTATTTTACAAAGTCGATTTTCGCCAAAGAGTTGTAGCTTGTGATGTACTTTATCTCATTTGCTACGCATCTCTAGGGTTGGTAAATATCCTTTGCTTCAACATAGTGAAAAGGAGTATACCAGCAAAGTTGTTTTTGTCTTTAACATCTACCCAAGTCTTCATGTTCACTAACAACACTGGGTCTTTCTTTTAACAACAACTTAGTGGCAGGTGTAAAAGCCCTCGAATAATTTCAATCGTCTTAGACTGTTATTTACGACTCTTTTTGCATCAGTTAGGTTGGTAAACAAAGCCTTTTTAATAACCGGTTCCTTAAGCACTCCACTCAAGATCCGATAGATAGACCTCATCAATCGCTTACACACTCCATCCAAATGAGTTGAACATGAAAGATTGAAATCTCGCATTGTACCTTCAGTTTTTATTTTATTTTTAATTTTCCTGTTAATATTCTTCAGGAAAATTTACTTAGAGCCCCACTCCTTCAGTCACTTGATAATTCTTTTGGTCACCCTCTTCGTTCATAAATCTAAGGAACCTCGATAAAAATAGGTCGTGTTAGAATGAAATATTTTAGATGTAAGAAGTTATCTTCATATTGCTTTTTGTTTGTACGATATTCATAAGCGCAAAATGGACTAAAATGAATCTGTCCCTGATACAGCACAAAGATAACCTAGTTTTACTTGATATTACGGTAAATCAGATACCAACTTATTTATTGGGTTTTCTGATAATTGATCTTTTTCTGAATGCTTTTAGATTAAACCGAAGACTAAATATCATTTTAGTTAGATAATTTTGTTTCTACAGCTTACATGTTCTCAGTGTAGTTTCTGTTATGACTATTGTTCAGCCAACCAAAAAACGTGCATAAATAATTATGCATACATATAAGCGAATTTGCATACAAACTATATAATTGTGTATATACATATATAGACACACGCCGGCAAATTTTCATATCCTTTTAAAGTGTACATCAGACGAAATAGTCGATTGTTTTAGCCAGATTGATACCGTTAATAGACAGACATGAAATCTCATCAAATATGTGTAGGTAAAACACATTTTTATATATATTTACATATATGTATAGGTTCTTCTGAATTCTTAATTTAAATTGAATAAATAAAAAAAATTATAAAGGCAGGATTGTTCATTTGTGTTATTTTTTTCTCGTTTTGTTTTAATCGAGTCAAAGCATTAGCTGTAATTTTATTAGTTTGGTGATATCACATCCAAATGTTCGGCAGTTCGTTCTGTTTTACTTTACGGCTGCGAAATGTGGCCATTAAGAGTTGAAGATATTCATAAGCTACTAGTATTTAATCACAGATGCCGTAGAAATATTGCTCTCACCTGCTGGGATCGCCGGGTAAGTAATAGTGAGGTTAGACGCAGGGTATTAGGGAATGATGGTAAATCAGTTGATGAGGTCATGAATCTTCATCGACTGAGATGGTTGGGCCACGTGCTGCGTATGCCTGAACACCGATTACCACGGCGCGCAATGCTAACCGGTGTTAGGGATGATTGGAAGAAAGTTAGGGGCGGCCAAACCAAAACGTGGCATCAGTGCTTGAAGTCACTAACTTCTGGTCTGAGCCATGTTGGTAGATGCTGACTAATTGGTAGTGGTCCGCGTGACTGTCGTAACCAATGGTTGGAGACTCTTG